ACCTCCGACACCTGCCTTTCCCTCGCTCCCGATGCACCACATGTGCTGCATCGACGAGCCTTCGAAGCACACGGAGACTCGGCCCTTCTCGCTTCTCCAGCCGAGCCTCTGCCGTCTTGCACTGAGGCGCGGTAGCTTCCCGTCTTCCTGTCCCACCCACAGCCCCCACACTCTGCCCTCTACCCCGCCACCCCAGGGACAGCCAGGTGAGCTCGTTCTCAGTTCAAAACTCTCCAGCGACTTCCCTGTCACTCAGAGTGATAGCCAAACTATCGTGCCTCTGAATGTTTGTGGACGTTTGCGACTTTGGACACATCTCCCCCACTGGGTGCCCACGCCACAGAAAGGAGATGACGGGACCTTCTCTGGGGCAGATGGCAGCAGCACCGGCCGTCTGCCCAGGGCCGCTCGCCGCCCCCCTCCCGCCGTGGTCCCCGGCCAGCGAGACCAGCCCCCATCACGGAGACCGAGAACGCCGGGCCCCGCCTTGCCGGCCCCCCTCCACCAGGGCGCAGAACCTGCGGCACGCGGCCGGGTGCTGCCAGGATGTGCCGTGCCAGCTGGGAGGGAACCCTCCTGCGCCCTCGATGGACGGGGCTGCGGCCACACCACACGTCAGAGGGCGGCACTGTCCGCGGGCCCGGGACGGAGAGCCGAAAGACGGAAAGCACGCGGGTCACCAGGACACAGAGCCACCGAATTAACCCGAGACAAGCCCAGCTCGGTTTCTGGAAAGCCCCGATGTCTAAGCCACTTTTCACGACAGGCTCTACGAGAACTAAAAGCTTGCCATCGATATGCACACTCCCAAAATAAACCGAAATTAAAAACGAACCGCAAGATACTAAGTCACACACGGGCATGGAAACCTAGCTGAAGGCACCTGGGCTGTCCTTTTAGAAGGTGAGACAGTCACCCACCATCCCTGTCACTATGCACTGCCCTTCCTACTTCCACTGACAGTCAGTCACTCCACTGTCCCCTCCCTCCAGCCCCCAGGCACTCACCCTTCCCGCCCAGCGAGGTCCCGCCTCCCAGACACTGAGAGCAACCATCTCCTCGGCTGCGGGATGGGGGTACTCACGCGGATGTCACCATGGGTGACAAGTGTTCACACACTTTCACGCCTCCCCAACCTGGAGCTCCCTCTGGCCTCTCGGGGCCCAAGGCTGTGCCCTGGGAATGGCAGGCATTCAGCGACATGGATTCCCTCCCCAGCTATGCACTCTGCCCTGGCTTTACTCTGGTTCCCTGCCAGGATAAATGAGCGGAAGAAAACTGAATTGCAAAATTTAACTTTTTTCTCCCATTGTTGTCTTTTAATGTGTTTGTGGCCCTGGCCTTTGCCCTCCAAGTCAGTGACCTGGCCAAAGCAGCTCCAAGCAAGCGCCTCCCCCCGCTTCCCCGCCCCCGCCACTCAGTCCTGCCGGCCACGCATCCTCCGTCACGTGGGCCTGCTCCCTGCTCCACCAGCTGGGAAGCCAGTGACCCCATTAGGGCCCCCGAGTACTCCAGAACTGCCGGAGCCAACGCTGCTTTTCCCACTAAGCACTTTTCCCTCCCACGCGGGCCCCATAAGTGTTAATAAAATAGCACTAGAAAGACAAGCGGGAGGCGAGCACCCGATGAGCCTCTTTATGGGCCTGGAGCAAAATGACCACTAATGGAGAGAACTTGGGTGAGCAGAGAATTCCAGAAAACACCTCCCGGGCCATCCTTCAGCCATGCGGGGAGAGATGGGAGGGAAAGCCAGCCCCCACAACCCTGCCTTTTACGGGACCCAAGCGACAACCAACATGCACAGCAGGGCAGGAGAAAACAGCATCCCAGAGGCTGAGGGTTTTGTAAATACTCATTTTATCTCGCCTCATAAAATCACAGCACAGTAGGCACCTAAGACTGAAAATAGTTCAGTATTACAAATTTTGCTACCCATTCAGGTCATGCCTGGAGTTTCCACTTTAGAATTAAAAATCAGAATCGGGGCAGTGGAAAGAGACTTTCAGTCTCAGCCCATTCTTATTTTAGTTAAGATTTCATTTTTCTCATAAAAAATAATCTCTTCTGCTGTAGTTCAAAGCACGGGCCGGGGACCTATCTGCCTGGTGCTCCCCCACTGCTCGGGCAGAGGAAGATGGGCAGGCTCAGCGGTGGGTGGGCTAACTTTCCTGGCCGTGGCGTCTTCATCTGTAAATCGCCGATAAGACCCAGAGGGCAGGTGGGAGGCACAAAGGAAATCAGCAAGCCCTCAGAAGTGAAGCAGGCACAGAAATCGCGTCAATACGTA